GAAAAACAAGAGGCGGAAACAGCAGAGTCTTATTTTATTTCTGCCAGAATTTGACGATAATTAGCTGAAATTAGGTCGGAGAGACACTGATGTATTATGTGACGTTGTGGAGTTTTTGGATTATTTTATGCAATTATTCAGATTACTTGACGCAAATCCTTCATTCAGTGGTGTAGTGGAGGGTAAATGCACATAAACGCCATTTACGCACTTTTTAAATTTACAAAACAGCGTTTACTCACCTTTTTGAGATCACTAATGTTAAGGATATAAATAGTTACCGTTTTTACTGCTGTGCATATAGTTTACCCACCTTAAATTTCTTGTTACCACTACACCACTGCTTCATTTCTTCACCATAGAAATGTATATTACTGTAATATCAAATGTTGTAGTAAGACCAGTTTTTGAAGGTCTCGATCTTGTCTTTGAATCAGCCGTATTTGTACTCGTTCTTGTCATGGACTCGGGATTTTATTTCGAGACCACAACTCAGAGAATATTCTTATTAATGCGCCGTTTACTGTCGGATTGGATAACTAATAACTTCAAGTGCAACCAATGGCGTTACTACCGGTGTTCCGGGCAATTCAGTTTCCCTATGTTTCCCCTGTCGCGCGCTGATTTGTACACGGTTTCGATGTTGTTTTCATGTCTTTTTAAGAAGCTCTTGAAGTAAACAAGCCATATATTTTAAAACATCACATGCCTTTTCTATGTTTTTTGTTTTTACAGATAATAAATGAAAGTATTTAATTCGCTGGATATATTTCTTGATGAAAACGGTATAGTATATTGCTTATATAAGACTATATGATGCGTGACGATCTACTGTATTCACATATAATAATGTACCTGAGTGATTTTCAGACATGTCACATACAGTACCGTAGCTTAAAGTAGTTCATTTTTATTTCAGTACAGCAAATGACTAAAGAAGTCACTAACCAAGATTACAATGACAGTGGTGATAAAAGGCATTATCAATGTGCAATTAGTCAAAGTAGGGGAGACTATAGGCAGTGCTAACAGGTGAGTGCAATATGAAGTGCAATGTGCAAGCTCCAGCAGACATGGCTCTGGCAGCATAAGTAGGAGGGAGAGGCAAGTGGGAATGCAGGCATGGGGAGTCCCTGAAATGTCAGCACTGAAATTCCACAAGGGATTGTGAAGCTAGAGTGACAGACTGACAGTTCAGTTTATCCAAAGCCAATGGCACCGATCCCCACCCAGCTCTACACCTCACACTACAGGTCTGACTGGGAGTGAGGAGTTAGCTAGACCTAGAACTAGTGTCCCTATAAGCTAAACTAAACAGGTGTGTTTTTAGTCTAGACTTGAATATTGAGAGTGAGCCTGAAACCCGCACATCTGGTGGAAGACCATTCCACAGCTGAGGAGCTCTGTAGGAGAAAGCTCTGCAGCCTGCTGTAGCTCTTTCTACCCTAGGTAGGCCTACTAACAGATATCCCGCGCCTTGAAACATCAGTGTGTTTCTCCAAAAACTGAACTGACTAGTCATAATTAACAGGATCCCTAAGATCTGCAAGGGCCAAAGAATTGGCTTTGTAGGAGACCAAAGTAGGCAGGGTCTTTGCGTAATCACGCACGCTGGGTCACATGGTATTGGTGGCGGCAGTAATTTGTAATATCACTTGTTAGGTGAAAGCGGTAGTAAGAGGGTGATGGGGGAAAACCTAGTTTTTGCTGAACGCAAATGTGACCACAAGTATAAACGCGAACGTAAAGGCGAATGAAAGGCACTGTGTGTTTTGCTTTTATGGATTATTACCTGCTAGCACGTCGGGCAGGTTAAGTTTCCCCTGATCAGCCGCTCGGTGACTTGAAAGTTTTGTTAGACAGTCGCCTATTGGCTTGGTACTCATTTTTGGTAATGAGGTAGTAACTACAGAAATAAGTAGCACAACTGAAATTTTATGAAAATCCCCCAATCATGTGTGATCCAAGATTGTCGCCTATTATGCATGTGACAGCACCCTTGTATACCTTGCCCTTAAAAGATATCCTATTAGACTCCAATTTACACAAATCAGCTACAAGTGCACTACAAATATTGTTAATTCCAAAATACCTGCAGTCTTCTTCCAACAAAGCAGCACTAACTGTATTTGATCAACAGTGGACCAATTGTGAGGATAGAAATTTCCCAAAGTATAGAACACTGCAAGAACTTTGTGTGTCTGTTTGGCAGAACCAAGAGGATTTGCCACCTCAAAGACATCTTGAAACAACATTATTTTTAGCTACTAAGCTCCGCCCAAGGTACCAGGTAACCTCTCTCAGGATTCTACTCCAACCCTGCACTGCATCTTTTCCTGAATTTCCTTCCCGTGTTCATCTGTGTTCTTGTGATCCCTGATCCCTTGCACTTCTTAGTACAAGCGTGTGTTTGCAGTTTCCCATGTCTGTACGTGTGTCTGCCTTTCCCTGCACCCCTATGACTAGCCTTTTGGCTTACCGACCCTGGCTTGTACCTTTCACTACGATTTCCATCTCTTGTCTCCGATTAACATTGACTCTGCATCCGGATCCCTGGTTCCAGAGGCTGCCTATGTTTGACTATGTGTATAATCTTGTACTTTTCAGAGTGATCGCTTGGCATTAATGTTAGGAGAAGGTAGAACTAGAGAAGATGCTGTCGGAATGATAACAATGTATTTCCTGGACAGCCCTGTTAACCACCCCCCCCCCATTTATTCCCACACCCCCAACTTCTATAAATTCTATTATTACACATAGTGTCTGTATGACATTATATGGTAGTTACTTAGTTATACTAGGTTACTGATACGTTTTTTGGTTTATCGAAGCAAGCCCACTCTTTTCCTATAATGTTCCTATACTGTAATGGACACACGTAGAACAGTAAATGTGTGTAAAGTACACCAGTCAGCCATAACATTAAAACCCCTGACTTGTAAAGTGAATAACCATGATTATTAGGCAAATGAACAGTCCATTCTTGAAGTTGGTATTGTAAGCAGGAGAAATAGGCAACTTTGACAAGGGTCAAACTGTGATGGCTAGATGCTGGGTCAGAGCATCTCCAAAACGGCAGGTCTTGTAGGGTGTTCCTGGTATGCAGTAGTCAGTACCGACCAAATGTGGTCCAAGAAAGTCCGACTGGTGAGCGAGTGATGGACTAATGGGCGCTCACGGCTCACTGATGCACATGGGGAGCGAAGGCCAGCCTGTCTGGTCCAATCCCACAGGAGAGCTACGGCAGCCGGCATTAACTTTTCAACAATTTGGGCTAAAACAGAAAGGTATCAGAACACACAGAGCATCACAGTTTGCCCATGCCGACCACTGTCTGCTGCTGAAAGTGACTACAATGGACACTTGAGCGTCAGAACTATACAATCCGTTCTAACACGATTGATTTATTAGCACCCAAGTCCAATACAGTACATCGTAGGACAACACTTGTATTTGAGCGATTTTCAATCGGAGAGAAAAGCACTATGCGAAACTGCACCCTGTGATATGGCCTTAGTTAGTGAGGAACACGAAGTGAACCGATAGTGATCTCCAATTCGAAAACGGATTGTTCTTTTGAGCCGGTTCTATTCAGTGAATTGGTCGAAACGGTTTACAAATCTAAAACAAATCAAACTTTTTATATGTCCACACATTCCACGGGTCAAACTGTCACATCCCGACCACGCGCCCGACCAACGGAGCTAGTAGCCTACCTAATGGGCGGAACCGTTTACAGCTGGAGAGGCGGCATTAAAAGGATTCAATCCGCACTCCCCGACGCCAGGTATTGTTCATTATCATGCGACGACGTACTGAGCATTTTTCCATACCTGTCAAGTATCCCGTTTTGGCCGGGAAAGTCCCGTAATTTACCCTTCTTTCCCGCCGTCCTCCCGTATTACTATTTTCCCGTAAATCTCCCGTATTTTAACCTGCGTTATTAAAAAAAAAAAAAAAAAACATCCCCCCCAAAAAAATCTGAGCT